AATCTAATAGAAAAAGGATTAATTCTAACAGGAATAGTTTTAGGATCTTCTTCAAGGAGAAAGAAATTAAGCCAAATTGGGTAGCTAAGGAAGAGACTAATTCAAATACATGAAGAGTTGAGGCAGGAAATCAGGACTAGACCCCGCAGCTGATGATCAGGCTTAAGGCAGACAAGACTAGAGACTGGCAAGGAGGAGAGCTTTGAAGGTGGGGCTGAGGGGCTGAGAGCCCAAGACTTTTTTTTTTTTTTGAGAAGTTTTTGCTATAGGCCACGCACATTCACCAGGAAGACGGAGAGACAGTGAAAAATCACTCCGGGGGTGGGGTGGGGGGGGTGACCAGATCACAATCCATTCTTCTCCAGTCTCCTCTCGGGATCTTGGGCAGCATGAGCTCGCACCCAATGTGACTTTAAGCCACCGGGTTCTGGTCCGGGTCTGGGAGTCTAACCTCAGTTGACTACATGGGAGTCCAGCGACTTAGCCATTAGACCAACTGCTGGTCCCTGAACTGCTTTTCAAAGAAGTGCTCTTGGGGCTGGCGAATGGCATGGTGGTTAAAGGCGCTGGATTCCCACATGGCTGACCATGGCTCAAGTCCTGGACCTGGAGGCTTGGCTTCTCACTTTCCCTCTCTCTCTCTTTCTGTCCCTCTCTGGTCAAATTTAAATAAAAGAAAGAAGCCAGCTTTGCGCAGTGACAGTATCGTAGCCAATGAAGTTTATCCGAGGCGCGATTATTGCTAATAGAAAGAAATAAAGGTGTTTTTTTTTTTAAGTACTCTTTTTGTTGTCGTTGTTGGTAATTTTGCTATGGGGTGCACATTTATGGCAGGGAGGCAGAGAGAGAGAAAGTGAGAAAGCAACACCGCCCCCCTCCCGGGAAGTATGGCCACAACGCGGTCCCTTCTCCATTCTCCTCTGGGAATGTTTTGGGCACAAACGCAATCATGCCAACAGGCCGGGTGTGGTTTTCCAGATGCTGGGTCCCGGAGTCCAGGAGACAGCCAGCCATGTGGGATCCAGCCTCCTTAACCTCCATGCCACTGGCAGGCCCAGACGTGCTCTTGAGGAAGCCGAGACCAGAGCACCCCTGGACATTCTCAGGTCCTGCGCAGCACTGCAGAGGGTCTGACCAGCCTTGAACAACTGATTCTCAAAATGGGGGTAGGAATGTCTTCCAAAAGTTTATGGAAAATGTATACTACAAAAAACTGCGTGGATTTCAAAAACAATTTTATTCTGGCACCTAAACAAATGTGTACTTCAATTCCGTCGTTTCCCGGGGTTCCAGCGCCCTTGCGGTTTTGCTGCAACGACCAAACGCGATCCTGGCTGCAGAGGGCTTCAGCCCAGGCTCGGCAGGAAGCTGCCACGTTAAGTCTGGGGAGACGGGCGTCCCACTCACCAAGTGAAGGAGTCGGGTGCCGGCGAAGGGCGGGGAAGGGCTGGGGTTAGTGACCCGGTGCCGGTGCCGCTCCGGGCTGCCCGCGTCCTCCAGGCAGTCCCCAAGACGCCTGTCCCTGAGCTGGGACCGCGCGCCCGCGCCCACTCACCTGCGGGCTGCGGGACCCCGCAGGGCACCCTGTCCCTTGGAGAGGGCGGTGCAGGCCCGAAGCCGGGACCCCGTGGCCGCCCGACCCCCCGCGCACCCAGATCCCTCCCC